AAGAAGAAGAAGAAGAAGAAGAAGAAGAAGAAGAAGAAGAAGAAGAATTATTGAACAGAATAAATTCACTCTCTCCTTTCTCTGCCATGCATTATAAACTTGGCTTTTTGTAGATTCTGTCAGGCAGGCTGGGGATTTTCAGCTTACTAGTTTAGATTGAATCTTGAGAGGGTCACTTCATCTTTAACATCTAAAAGAAGCAGGAGGAAAAAAAATAAACACTGCTGTTAAAATCTTGATTTTGTTTTTATTCTTGTAGTCAAAAGGTTGGCTGTTGTGGCTTATTTAAAAAAAAATGTCTCAGGGTTCAGGAGAAAACAAATGGCTGAAACCTGCTGATGAATGTAATCGGAGATATTTTTATCTACCTGGGCGTTCGTTTGTTCCCAACGGATTTTTAAATATGTTGCATTATTTCATGTTCAAGAAGTACAAGTCTAGAGACTAACTGGAGTATTCTTCTCCCTTTCTTAAGATGTTTTGATGTGGTGCTGGGAGGCCAAATGTAAAATTGTCTGCTAGATCAGATCCTGAAAATTTTGGCCTTCATCTCAAATGTTTTCCTCTGGATCATCCGGAGGTGTAAATTGTTACCCTGTTTTTTCCTAGATTCACTGATTGCAATTGGAAAGTTATATGTGATGGGTTTAGATTAGGTGTAGGCTTAGCACGTTGTGGGAATACAGATGTTGCGGGTCCTTTTGCTAAGCTGTGATTAAAGAAACACAGTTCAGTGTAACCTGTCAACACCGTCACTTTATATTCTTGGAGTTCGTCCATTCTTAACCTTACAACTTAGGGGCAGGATTACAACAGGATGGAGCCACACAATGGTTTCAAAGCATTTATGTTTGAACGTAAACATTGGAAGAGATTGTAAATTTGAAGAATGTAAACACTGGCCTTTTATAGTTATGTTATTCTAGGAAAAGGAAACTTCCTTGTTGCTGTCAGCTTGTACTGTAGCTTTCATACCAGAATACAATAACAGAGTTGGAAGAGATCTCCAAGGTTAACCTTTTCAGCACCAACCGCCAAAACAGGGGCGTGTGCATGTGCCGGAAACTGGAAGCTCAGCTTCCCGGGCGTGTGCATGCATGCATGAAGACCAGCTGGCTGCCACACACATGCATGCTGTGGAGCTGCTCTTCTGGTTTCTGGCACTCCTGGGCGCGCGAAGACCAGGTAGTTAGAACCCAGAAGAGCAACCGGCGACAGCTGGCGTGCCCAGAGTGATGACTCTGTGTGCCAGTACCGGAATGCGTGCCCATAGATTCGCCATCACAGTTCTAATCTTGTATTGTGGCAATCAAAACTGGAGTGCGACCTTACCAGTAAAGTATAAAATGATAGTATAGCTTTACATGTTCTTGATGCTATCCTTCTGTTGATGAAGCACCAGGATTGCCTTAGCTTTTTGGGCAGCTGCCACACACTGCTGGCTCATACTTAAGTAGTTGTCCACTAGGACACACAAATCCCCATCACAGTTACTACTGTTGAGTCAGGTAACTTCTATACCTGTGCTTTTGGTTCTTACCTAAGCGTAAGACCTTATGATCCTATCACTGAACCTCATTTTGGGGGGATATGGCCCAGTGTCCCAAATCTATCCAGATATTCTTCTGGAAGTTGAGACTATCTTCTAAAGCAGGGGGTGTCAGACTCAAGGCTGGATCCGGCCCGCAAGGTGCTTCGATCTGGCCTGTGGGGTCACCCTAGAAACAGCAAAGGAGCCGGCCCATGGCGCATCTGCCAGTGAAAACGGAGCTTGAGAGGGCCGCCCCCGACATGAGTGACATCAATCTGGCCACGCCCCCTGGCCATGCCACGCCCCCCCCAGCGAGTCCAAACACAACTACGCGGCCCTCAATGACATCGAGTTTGACTCTCCTGTTCTAAAGCGTGGCTTGTTTCCCCCCGCTTGGTGATCTCTGAAAATTGGATGCGCTCCCTTCCTGTCCCCTCCTCACACACGGGGGTGAGATTCTACGGGTTTGGGAGAACCGGTAGTTAGGGTGACGGTTTGGCCCCGCCCATCCACTCCTGCCCTATTCTGTCCTTTATTTCTGGGGTTTTCAGCTCCGCTGTTTGGCGCGGCACAGCGTATTGCCATTCCTCAGTTTATTTACTCACCGGGACTGCAGCAGAGGGTAAGTTTTAGAGCTGAAAAAGCAAGTGTTTTTGGAAATGCCATTTTGAAATGTGCTTTTGAGTCACACTCCTGCTCACACGCCGCGGTAATTTTCACAAACTACTTTTGTGATTATTTTATTTTAAATTTATTTTTGCAGTATACGTGCCCGATGAATGGGAAGTGCCCAGAGAAAAGATTACAATGTGCCGGGAACTCGGGCAAGGCTCCTTCGGCATGGTCTACGAGGGAGTAGCCAAAGGCGTGGTGAAAGACGAGCCTGAAACCAGAGTGGCCATCAAGACAGTCAACGAATCAGCAAGCATGAGAGAGCGGATCGAGTTTCTCAACGAAGCTTCGGTGATGAAGGAGTTCAACTGTCACCACGTAGTAAGTGACTGAGCTCTGCAAAGCTGTGGCGATTTCTGACTTCTTTCCGCCATCCCAAACTTAATATGTACATTAGCGGTAGTCCTTGCTTATCAGCCATCTTTTCAGGGACTGCTTGAAGTCATAACAGCGCTGGGCTTGTGGTACTTAAAACGACCAGTCCTCAACCTATTAACCTCTAAGCCACGGTCTCTCCTCATTTTGTTGGCCATACCAGGGGATCTACACTAGTCTCCCATTATTTATTTCTTGTAAAACATACATTCAGCACAAAAATAGTTTGTCGTGAAAGCGACTGCTTGTGAAGGTTCCTGGATTGGGGCCGAGAGGCAAAAGTGGAAGAAGTAATGCTCTGTCCCATAACTGGGTAGACCAGGTTGCTCTGATTAATCTCTCCCCTGGTATAGCTGGCAAGGTGAAGAAAGCCTGTGGCTTAGAGATTCATACATCTACCTAGTAAGCAAGTAGCCCAGGTTCGAATCCCAGAAGGGGATGGCTAGCTGATGGGAGCTAAATAGCCTGAAATAGATCTGTACTAGTCTCCCTTTATTTCTTTGTCGGTAAAATATAAATTCAACACAACGTTGCACGCTATTTCTGGTTCAAATAAGAGTATGGATGCTCCCCCGGATCAAAAATTGGTTACAAGAGATCACTGGGTATCAGATTGAGCTCAGACCGGAAACTTTCCTCTTAGGAATTATCAAAGATAGATTACCGAAAGAAGTAAAATACCTATTACTACACATTACAACAGCCGCCAGAATAGCCTTTGCACAGGTATGGAAAACTCCAACTAGTCCTAATGAAGAACTAATAATACATAAAGTAACGGAAAGTGCTGTGATGAACATGTTAACAGTGAAATTAAAAGAAAAAGATGACTCTGAATTCTTCTTCATTTGGAATAATTGGTATAAATGGCTAACAAACAGAACTAAGAAGTGAGACAAAAAGTCTATCCAAAATAACCCTTAAGAAAGTAAAGCAAAATTTTGTAAATTATACAAAGATATAAGAATAGTAATCATAGTTAAAGCTATTAGTCAATATTAGTCAAATGTAATATGATGTATTACGATATTTATATCAAAAACCTGTATAGATGCCAAGAACGCTGTTGATACCATGATGCCTTAAGATGTAACAAAAGAAATTCAATTAGATAGATAGATAGATAGATAGATAGATAGATAGATAGATAGATGATACATAGATGATAGATAGATAGATAGATAGAGATAGATAGATAGATAGATAGATGATACATAGATAGATAGATGATACATAGATAGATAGATAGATAGATAGATAGATAGATAGATAGATAGATAGATAGATAGATAGATAGATAGTATGGATGCTCCCTTTAAAACCATCTTTCCAACATGATTTCTCCCACTCAGCATGACCATTCATCCCAAAGCTTGACTCCCCCCACAAATTCCTGTGCCCATAAGTATGTCAGGAGTGCAGAATTAGGATCATACGTTAAGTATCATTTAAGCTGATTTATTGCTCACGCCTATACATAAAAATCTAGTCCATCAAAGGTCAGGACTAAATTGGTGCTAGATAAGAGTGAACAGAATTAGAAAAGGATTGGACTTAGAACACTTGTGGGAATGTAATGACTCCAGGCTGATTCCTCTCTTGACTCCACCCCCAGGCTCTGCCTGTCCTCCTCCAACAAAGCTGCATCTAATTTGCTTGTTTCCTCTGACAGGTTCGGCTCCTTGGTGTTGTCTCTCAAGGTCAACCCACTCTGGTCATCATGGAACTCATGACCCGAGGAGATCTGAAGAGCTACCTGCGGTCTCTCCGCCCAGACACAGAAGTATGCTTGTGCTGTTGGGGAATTGTGAAATGTGCTTTGTGAAAAGAAGGTAGCTTCCCAAGTAAAACGGGGTGTACGACAAGGACACCCCTTCGAATTGGACTAGAGCAGTGGTTGCCAACCAGTGGGCTGGGGACCACTGGTGGTCTGCGAGAAAATTTTGGTGGTCTGCAGAGAGATGTCACCCCAAAGCACCCCCAAAGCAATTAATCCAGGCTGCGCGGGACACACAAGGCTGCACCATCCACATGGCCTGCGGGAACACAAGGCTTGCGTCACTTGCATTGCAAACAACACGAGGAAGTGAGGGGAGGGGGGAAAGAGCAGAGCGGGGAAACTTGCCCCACTCACCCCACATACCTCGCCTGGCCACCGGGTTGCTTCTTTCCACTTCTTTCTTCTGCTTTTGGCTGCACACAAGGAAAACAGCAAAAGTCTTTCTCTCCCCCAAACTCCACCAGAAATGATCTTTGGGGCCCTGCAAGGCCTCCTCCTCCAAGAGGCTGCCCCGGCACAACAAGTCTCACAAAGACTCATTTCTGGCAGAGTTTGGGGGAGAGAAAGAAAACTTCTGCTGCTTCTGCTGCTTTCCTTGCATGAAGCCAAAAGTCTCTCCTCTCTCTTTCTCTCCCCCTGAGAACGGAGATGAAGACGGTATCCTGTGATCCCAAATAAAGAATGATCGATCGGTAGGAAAATGGGGTGAGGAATTTCCTTGCAGACTTTTTTTGGGGATTTTCCTAGGACCTCTCGTCCGCAGGATTTAAAATTACGCGTTTGGTGGTTCCTGAGGTCCAAAAGGATGGCGGCCCCTGGACTGGAATACCTTCAAGGTCCCTCCCAACTCTGTAACTCTGTGGTTTTGAATTCTTAGGCAGGAGGCTTCTGTGTCGCTACAGAATCCGTCCTATTCCGCTTAGCCCATGGCTTCCATAAACTTGGTTTAAGGAAGCCGCCACTTTTTCCTTAACTGCTTATGTCGAGATAGGAAGGAGTTGAGATATTCTGCAATAGGTATGTTCAGTTTTTGTGAGCAGGTAGGCAAGGATGAAGAAGGAAAAGAGCTACTTGTTATTACAGTGATGCCCAATATTTGAACAGCCAGAAGCATTCCCCCTTTTTTACAGCTACTTTTTCATTCTCATTTTGATAAATAATAAAACGGCAATCTTCTAGCCGTTTTGCCAACCTATTTGTTTCGCCCTTACTCTTCACTCTGAAGAAGCCAGGATGGTTGTTTAGTGTAAAACAGCCCTGCTAATTGCTCATGACTTTTCGTAGGGCAGTCACCGTTCTCTTTCACTCTTGCCTTGAATTATGAATGAGTTTTTGCAACAAACACTAATATTTAGTCATGCGGTTGACATTTAATATTCACGCTGGCAGCAGAAGATCACCACTCTTGTGTGTGTTGTCACAAGTTCCAAGTTAGGCAGGAGAAAAGGGGGAGAGAGTCCTTTTTATTTGGCTCTTGAGAGAGTCCTCAAGAACCAAATAAAAGTGAAATTAGGGCTGGCAGATTTCGTTGAGTTCTTCCCTTCTTCCCAGCCTTCCCTTTGCCGCCTTTGTGGATAGCTTCTGTTGTAAATAATTCATGGGGAGATAGTGGAAGCATCTGGTGTGTTTGTGAAGATGAAAGTGTGACTGTAAACCAAGCGGCGTTCCTTGAGCTGAGATAAATATCTTGGCTTCTAAAAACATGATTGTAGAAACAAACTTGGGGGCTGAATGGAGAAAGAGTGGATGACATGTGATCTTTTCTGTTTCTTTCCTTTCTCTCCTGTTGTACTTTTGTTGTCCTTCCTCTCTTGGTTGGATGTGAGAGAACATGGAGCTCTTCTTGGATGTGAGAGAACATGGAGCTCTTCTTGGATG